GATTAAAGGAAGTTGGGAAATCTAATAAAAAATATTAAGCTTGTTCCAAGAATTAAGGCTTTTTCATAAATAACCATAAATTTTGCAGGTTACAAAATTAACGTTTGACTTGCGAAATAATGATTTTGTTTGAGAAAAAAAACTTAGAAGAAATTATTTTGAATGTTTGGCATGTGAAATTACTATTCACTGTGTAATTTTTTTTTCTTCATATTTTTTACGAAAATCATAAATTTTTTTTGTCAAGAAAACATTTTTTTAAAAGATTTTTATGGTAATCTATTCAAATGCCTCTTATATTTTACAAAAGTATATGGAATATGGTCAAAAAATAAAAAAGATTGGAGAAAATTATTTTGAACTAGGTGTAATATCCGTGTATTACACGGGTTGATTAAAAAAAAGATTATATATTAAAATGTAAACATTAAGTTTTTTTTTTTGTTTTAATTAGAATTTTGAAATAAGGAATGAAGAAACCTATAAATTACAATTATTATCACATTTATTACATTTAATACTTTACATATATAAATATATAAGTATTATGTGACTTTTTAATTTAAAAATTGAAAAAACTCAGAAATTGACATGTGAATATTATTTATTTCAATAAAAAATATAATAAAATGACAAATGTCAAAACTAATGGGAGATTGACACATGGCAAAAAGAATTTTCATTTATTATAGTTGATGTTTGACATGTGAAATTACTATTGACTTTGCAATTTTTTTTCTTCATATTTTTACGAAAATCATAATTTTTTTCTTGTCTAAGAAAACATATTTTTAAAAGACTAAACTGCACAAATGGTCCTTGTGGTTTGCTCAAAATTGTCACTTTGGTCCAAAAAGGTTTGGACTAGCATCACAGGTCCAAAGTTTTCATTTTGTTGCGAGTTTGGTCCAGTTTGCTTTAAACTTTTTTATAATGACGATTTTGCCCTTTATATATTCATTTTCTTTTTTATTTAAATTACAATAACTAAAAAGGAAAAATCATTACATCTCTCTCTCTCTCTCTCTCTACATTACATACACTTTTAAATCCTACGCCTGCAAAACATTTCATCGGATCTCTGGCTCCGGCGAAGGCTACTCGTCGGACCTCCTCCTTCCCTGACTATAACACCGCCTCCGCCTGCCATATAGACCACCATCTCGTCGTCATCGTCCATCTATAATCCTCCAATCTCCGATCTCGTTGCCACCGTCTAGATCTGTAAACCTTCATTTTTCCGGTGATCTGAACACCACCGCTACAACTCGATCTGTAAACTTTCGTTTGTCCAGATATGTATTTCGCGTGTCCCACCGCATTTTCTCGTCATTGGCGTCTGCGGTCGAGTTTCCAGCGGCGGTTATCATTCTTCGACTCGATCTGCAAACCATTCGTTGGACCACCACCTCATGCCGAACCATCAGTTCTGTCATCTTCCTCAACAAACCCTACATCGCCGCCGCCTTCGTCCCCCCCCCCATCTCCGAAGTTTTATCGTTCACAAGAGTTCAGATTTGTTCGTCGTTTACAGGAGTTCAGATCTGTTCATCAGATTTCAGATCTCGTAAGCTCATTTTTGTCGAAAAATGGCCGTCATCTTCCTCAGTCTCGTCGTTCTTATGTTTTGTTCATCTTGAAACTGATTTGTGGCCTCCCGCCTTAGGGTTTACTGAGGAAGATGGTTGCCTGAGAAGGTGACTTGAAGATGGTGTTGGTCGCCTAAACTCCGATGAAGGCGTGAAGATCGTGTGTTCTTGGATCTTGAGGGTTGCAAGCAGTAGGTTTTTGGGGTTTTAGAGGTGGAAGCCTCTTCGCCGGAAGCCTCCATCGCCGATGGTGGTGGTGGTGAAGGGCATGGGTTTTCTGAAAATCTGATGAAGCAAATGCTTTTTTTTTTTTTTTGAGAGAGAGAGAGAGAGAATATATATATATATATATATATATATATATATATATATATATATATATATTAATTTCTATACTAAATAAATTAGAAAAAAGAAAATACAAAGGGCAAAATCGTCTTTACAAAAAAGTTTAAAGCAAACTGGACCAAACTCGCAACAAAATGAAAACTTTGGACCTGTGGTGCTAGTCCAACCCTTTTTGGACAAAAGTGGCAATTTTGAGCAAACCACATGGGTGTGAGCATATTATAACATGTTAATGTACAAAAAATTAATCATCTCACATATCATATCAATATGGTATTATAACATCAAGCGGAGGAAATAGGTAACATGTTATAACATGTTAGAATACCCTCTATTTTCTATGTCATCATTTTTCTTTTGTCGATTTTTTCTTTTTCAGTTTATTTATTTTTAATTTATTTATTTTTTATTTTTTCAATTTGTTTTTTATTCACGTTAGATTATTTTAAAATTATGCAATTTAATTAAAACTTAAATTAAAAATAACATTTAAAAACTAAAAAATAACATTACACAAAAAAAAATTGAACGTAAAAAAACCATAGTCCTAAAAACATAAAAACGATACACTAGTCATCCAAATATATTTTCTCGGTTATCTCTTTTATCTTTTGGAGCACTTGCACTTGTCGTCGTCCCATATTTTCTTCGCTAGTATGAAGAATTGCTAAATCCATCGTCAGTTTATTTTCCTACACTTGCTTACGAAGGAACTCTTATGTTGCACTTCAACCTTTTGTTGTGCGATTATATTGTGTCGGTCGAACTTTTCATTAATTTCCACCAACTCTTGTGCTTTCTATCGGCTTCGCTCACGTGTTGTTGAGCGCGCTTCGCTTTGACGCGCCCGATTGGTCGACGTGAGGGAGGGATCTCTTCGATGTCGTCGGGGATGTCATCCATGTCGGCGTTGAGGTCGGTGTTAGTTCGTGAGTCAGAAACGTCAAACGAACCCGAACCCGAACCACGCGACCTCTTCGATTGTACCTCCGACGATGTTGGCATTTTAAGCCATTTTGGATCGTATCTCACCATCTCCCAAATGTTTTCGTACTCGAAAACATGATCCATTTTGACGTGATATCGCTCTCTTGCGGCTTTGAACACATCAAAATCATTCGCACCACTTTGTTTTTGCATGAAAAGTTTGTTGTAGATCCCATGAAACTTGGTGCAGTTCCGACTAATTGGAGTCCACTTGCTACTAATCATATCGGTATTGCGATATGCCCCGTCTTTCTTCAAAATTATGCAAAATTTTCCGAGCACAACTTAAAAACCAACTCTCTTCACATCGTTGCCTATAGTTGGATTTTTTTGAAGTCCAACACCACGCCACAGCAGTATCTTCTGGTGTCCACCATAATGGAGGTTCTTCTTCTTTAGTTTAAGCGAACGCTTTCCCTTTCTTTTTCCCTTTCCCTCCATCTCTCCGACTACCTACCGCTTGAGTTTCGGCAACCGTTTGTTGCGTTGGTTGTGTGAGTGGTGGTTGTGTGGTTGTTTGTGGCATGGAAACGAAAGTGTTGAAAATGTTTTGTTGCAAGCAGGGAGATGTAGGGAATTGCATTGGGGTGTAGCGAGATTGAAAAAGTTTCTTGAAAATGGTATTTGTGGTGAGTTTTTTGAGAGTTGAGGAGGTTCGCATAGCCCTAATATGGCGCGAAACCGAGCGGGGCGGATGTGTTTGTGTTTAGAGAAGGGGTGTTCGAGTTTTACTCCATATTTGGTGGAATGAGAAAGTGGTTGATTTTTGTGTGATAAGATGAGAGAAATAGAAGATTTGTGTAGGTAAAAAATGAGTGTATGTTTGTATTTATATGTGAGGTAAATTGGAAAAAAAAAGTTTACTTTTTTTTTTTACATTTGTGACCGTTCATCACAACGGTCAAATGACCGTTACTCTCAAAATGTGCCATTGCCTTTCGCTACCACCACGGGAAATAACATAACACGCAAATATGGTAGGCCGGGGCGGTGTTTGGGCTGTGGTAACGGCGTTTTCCGATGCCAGGTCATAAAAACTCGAGTGGGCGTTGCCCACACCAATAAATCTTAAGGTTAGAATAAGTGTATCAAAACCAAAAGCTATTTGTTATCTATATTTTATGTCTTTTGTCTTTTAAATACAAACTTCTATATTTATTATTATTATATTATTTTTATTTTTGGTGTTTTGGTAATGTCTATCCGACTATCCGTCCATAGACAAAAGAATTCTCAGTATTATTTATTTATTTATTTATTTTATTTTTTTAGGAAAGGTGTTTAGAGTATAATATGATAAATGGACTATTTTCAATTCGTATTTGCAAAGACACCTGGGTGATGGATCAAAACTAGTTTTTAGAAAGATATTTGGCTTGTTGATGTATCTTTTATGTATAGATTTCCGAGGTTGTTAATCTTGGTTGGAAAATGACAAAGATTGTCTTATAAAAGATCATTGGAATGGTGTGCATTGAGATTGGAGGAGGAACCACATGCACATATGATGAGTGAGCTAACTCTCCTACCTGTGTCCTTTCATCATATCGAAAGGATTATTTGAGATAGAATCCTAGTAACACTTTCACGGCTCGTGATACTAGGAGGTTCATAAGTTCATTGACGATGAGATCCTTCCTAGTAGTGGTTTGGGTACGAGATAGAATAGGTTTATGTATATGCCAAGAAAAGTTAACATTTTATGTTGAAGAATTCATAGATTACCCAATTGCACCAATATGGTTAATAGTGGAGTTGATATTGGTTATGTGCTTTGTCCCTTTTGTACGAGTAAAACGGAGGTAAAAATATATCGCTGTATCATTATTTTCATGTTTTCCTTGTCAAGTCTGTATTGTTACATTCTCATATATGAAACAAGATAAACTTGTAAAATTGGCGTTTGGAGCTAAATATTACGACGTAGTGATAAAATATGAAATTTCGAGTTCAATTTATGCTAGACGTTATTTAACTTCCGTAATAGTTATGTCTATTAATCAAAAGATGAGTACTAAAGTTTAATGTATACTTTCATGCTACAATTATTGAATACAAATCAATGCTGCAAATCATTCGTATACAACCATGTTTAATCAAATCATTTCTTCTTCTTTTTGATTAGCCATTCGCACATTATCACGATCAAGCCTAAAAACCGATACAACGGGGTGTAAAACAAACTACACATTCCAAACGGAACCGCCATCATGGAAAAAAGCGCTTTCGACAGCGCTAACGCTTCTCTCGTGGACCCCGCAACCGGGTCCACGGATTTCGGGTCATACCCGTGAATCCTTTCTGCTAAAATCCCAACAATAGGTGCAGCAAATGACGAAAATGACCCTTCAAAAGCCCGGTCAAACGCATAGATCATGGTCCGATGTTTGGGTGGGACCACTTCGGCGAACATTGGTGCATTGGCTGCCGTTCCATTCCAGCTTATAGTAAGTCCCATAAGGAAAAGGGTAATAGCGTAAATTTGGTAGCTGTTGACTGATTGTGGGATTACACGTAGGAGAAAGAAAGTATACGGGATTCCCATAATTGCACTGAATTGCGCGCACATGATTCGACCCGTGTGAGGGTAAATTTGGGATAAACGATCCGCTATGATCCCACCCAAGAGTGATCCGAGAGAACACCCAGCCCCAAAAAGGGTAAAAAGTGTTGCAACTTGTTGGTGATCAAAACCTAAAAGAAATATAAAAATATTTATGAAAATGAATTCTTAGTGGGAATGCAAGCAAATAATAGACAAGGGGAAATTAGTAAAATGTTATGACTTAATGGGGAAAGACCATTTCATGTGATTTTCTCTACTAACTCGTTCTTTTTGTATAAGGTGTTGTCAGAATAATCGATGTATATAAGATATTATTTGAGAAAACGAGTAACATACATGGAAAAATTAAAGGAAAACCATAAATGAGGGGAAATTTTTTAAAAGTGGTGACTTAATGAGGTACGCTTGTCTTCTTTAAGTAACAAAAACACATATAACTTATCTGATTAAGTCATATCTTTATAAAGTTAAGTCCATTAGTTAAAAAATAAATAACAAAGATATAAAAACACATACATGCTCACCAATTAGTTGGAACCATAAAGTGAAAAACACCATGGCTGTCCATGGGATTGAACCAACAAGACCCTGCAACACGATGATTTGAAACGTTTTCACTTTCATCACACCTTTCATGGCTATCCATGACTCAATCCAAACCGAAGAAGAACCAGAATCACGACTCCCCTCCATAAGTTCCTTTCTACAATAAAAGAAACATCTAATGATCTAAATGCAAAAAAAAAAACAACATATTTTCATTTATTTATGTATTACAGCATCCTACTTTGAAAAAGTTACCGAATAATATTATACATTGCGGATTTTTTAGAACATAAGATTGCATAGAAAAATGAACAGATGAATGAAAAATCTTAAAAGAAACTAAAAAGTCAGTAAAGACAAAAAACAAAACCAAGAAAAAAATTTCGTACCTATCAGGATCAACAGTAACTAGTCTTTTAGGATCAACAACGAACATGAACACAAGACAAGCAATTACACAACTTAACACAGAGATCATAAGAAATGCAAATCGCCACCCGGGTACACCCCAAAACTCATGGCCGGCCATAATCATAGCCACCGCACCACCACCAATGCCACCCACCTTGCCGACAAGGTTCAACAGCCCAAACCCAGCTCCCCTCACCTTCTCGCTGTAAGTATCAGCTATAAACGACTGGAGTGAAGGAATCACGATCGCTAATCCAAATCCATTCACAATCTGCCATAAAGCGAGTTGACTGAAATAGCGACTGCCACCTAACGCGCCGGTGGATAACGCCCAGCAAAGGGTGCCCATTGCAAGAACTCTAGGGCGGTCGTAGGTTAAAACCAAGATTCCGGCCATCGGAGATGCCAGACCTTGAAAAAAGTTTCTCATGAACATTAAGTAGCCCAAATCGGAGGGGCCCACATTGAAAGTTTCGCTGAGTTCTTTGTATACAGATGGAAGCAGGTTTTCGTCTGTACGCTCTACTATGGCGGCTAAATTGATGATTATGAGAGAAAGAGAAATCCCAAAAAGTTTTCGCGTCCTGCGAGTATCCGATGTAAGATATCATCTAATCCATAAATATAAACACAAACAGTTGCTATGCGCATTGATACAGATACTGTGTTCTAGTGATTACTGAGTGGAACTTCCATTTGAAATCTAATCGAAGAGGGAAATGACTCGATTTGAACTCGAAACTACAAAATCAATAATAAAAAAAAAACTACAACTAGTGTAGAGCAACAGGAGACAATAGAAGTATAGCAAAATAGAATAGGAATAATCAAACTCACTTCATGGTATTCGGATTCGCTTTTGAAAACAAGAGCTTAGATCCAGAGATGACGTAATCTCATCTGCAAGCTAAAAAAGACCTCCGAAGGGCAACTTGTCGACATTACTAAAAATCGAACACCCAGATTACGTATAGAACTGTAAAACGTTCAAATCGATGATAAAATTTCAATTTTTTTTTGGAAGAAATTTGGTGGGATCTGGCTACTGTTCAAGGGTTGACCCGCGTTGAGGAGCCTTTTTCCGTATCGTATAACGAAGTAATCGACGTGAGTAATTATTTTTCGGATATCTTCGTAAAAGTCTGAATATTTTTGGTAAATTTTTAATAAAGTCCTAAATTTTATTTTTTTGAATAAAAAAGTTTTGACTTTTTCATATTTTGAATAGAAAAGTCCAAGAAACCGGCTAATTTATTCACTTTAGCCCTTTTTGACATGTTCAGCAGGTCATGGAACCAAATTGTTAATTTTTCGAAATTAATGAGATTTTTTTACAGATTTTGTAAAA